TAGGCGAGCGGCATGTATGGCGTCGACGGTGCTACAACCCGCCACGAAGCCACACTGGTTGGTGGAAAGCTGGACGATATCACGAACACGGGCGTCAACAATTCGCTCGAAGATTTTCATAGTGTGCGAGAGAAGGCGAATTGGACGGTAGTTCGAGCACTCTGCCGGGTTGCCCTTCTTCTTCCAAATCGGGATCGTCACGCTCTGCTGCCAGTCCTTAGGCACCTTCTTCTCTTCGACGATCTGGTTGAAGAGTTTCGTTGACAACCCGCGCAGCGGAACCACGCGTGACTTGCCACGAAATCAGCTGCGATGTCGTCGGGGCCTGTTGCTTTGCCGGCCTTCATCTTCCTCAGAGCAGCTTCGGTTTCCTGTACGGTAATCCTCTGAACGGGGCCATATGTTGGTGCGGTACAGGGTATAGCGGGATGGGCGAATTCCACGGTTGAGATGCCCTCGAAGTATTCACGCCATCGTTGCAATACCCTTCCTCGGTCCATCAGAAGTTGCCCATTCTCATCACTTATGCCAAAGAACTTCTCAATGTCTTCGGTTTGGCGATGACGAGACTTGGCAAGTCCGTACAGGTACCGCTCACCGTCGCGCGTCTCCAGCTTCTTGCTGATATCATCGAAGTGAGCGGCCTTCGCAGCAGCCACGGCCGTCTTTGCCACATTCCTCGCTTCCCGATACTGCCGCCAGTTGTCAGCCGACTTCTGCTCGAGAAACGCGTGATAGAGCCTCTTCTTTCTCGAACCTTCGCTTTGACATCATCCGTCCAGAGCCACGCGTCTTTGTCAATCCTCCGCCGTCCAGGCTTCGTTGTGCCGAGTTCGGAGCGGGCGGCCTGGATTATAGAATTAACGGCTTCGTTCCAGGTCTCCTGAACAGTTGTGACTTCAGGTAGTCGAATACGAGAAATCACAGCTGCCTCCCGCTCTTTCAGCCGCCACCACTTGATTCTTTCAGGACCGCTTCGTTCAGCTACCTGTCTCCGCCTGGGAGCTACGAGTCTGAGCGTGCAGATCAGTGGGCGGTGCTGCGTGGCAACCGTTTCATACGGTACTACCTTAGCGTCTGTCACGAGTCCTTGGTCGCCATGCCTGATGAGTACGAAGTCTATTTGTGTCTTAGTACTCCCGCTGTAGAACGTGATGAGATGGGAGTCACGTTTACGGAATCTTGTGTTCAGAATGACGAGGTTATGCGACTCTGCATACTCAAGGACTCGCTCACCATCGGCGTTCCGTGAACCGTAGCCGAATCCGCCATGACAAGCATAGCCGTCTTTTGCAGCGCCCACGTGCCCGTTTAAATCGCCGGCTGCAATGACCAGTTCCATCTTTTTGGTGGGCACTTCCAGGCTGTCTTCTCATCCAGCAGGATCGCAAGAAATCGTCCTTGGACTGCTCAGAGCATCCAGTTTGTGGGGCATATGCGGAGAAGAAGTGGTACAGCCGTTGTTCAATAGCGACAACAATCTTCATCAAACGGTCGTCGAAACGAACTACGCTCATGATGGAATCGCGGAATCGCTGAGACACGATCACGGCCACACCACTTAGTTTTCGGCCCGCCACAAAGAACGGCTTTGAAGCCGAGACCTAACTCTTTCGACTTGCAACCAGCCCATCTCGTTTCTTGCACGGCATAGAGGTCGATCTTTCTACGCTCTAGGGCTTCTGCTACTCGTACGAGCGTCCAATCAGCGTCCCCACGTTCAGCGTCGCAATACGAGCTTTTGACACACTGCACGTCTTTTGGACTAGCCTGGTTGCCCCCCCCGATGCCGTCCTTGCAACGAGGACCCTCGCATATTTTTCACACTCGTCGGGCCTTGCGAGTGCGCGTCGGCTCCCGCGGACGCCGTAGCATTATCTCGAAATTCATAAGGCATAGTTAAACATGATGATGTGACATGGGGTGTTCGTAAGCCGGCCCGTCACGAAGGCCTGTCGCCTGCTTTCGGTTCGTCCGCGTTCTGCTCAGCCCGCAAAAGCGAGCAGGTCCCGGTGGCACCACTTGGAGGAACGGACGTCACCACCTGTCTCTGGAGAGCAATGAGGCTGACTAATGGAAGTTCCTGATCCCTCGTATTCAACCTTTTTGTATCACTGACGAATGAGTACAAGACAAAGTGTGGAGTGATGCTACTGGAACTGCCAATGCCAAGGATTTTGAACATGGGCGATTAAGTGGATTCGTTAGAATATAACACATTCTTTTTGATGGACGTGTCCCCATTATTTAATTAATCAACAATATATCAGCCATTGTTAGCCACTACAGTGCCCCACCTAATGGGCAAGTTAGCAGTTCCCTTCTCCTGCGAGTCAAATAAGCCGGCGACCCCTCGACCGGTCTCATCAAACCTGCTGGCACTTTTCTTAGATAAGAAAGCCTTAAGATGGCGGAACAGGTAACATTCGTAGGAATCTACAGGAGAATACGGTGAGTGGGTAATGGTCTCCCAGCTTTGCTCCTTAATTATTTGGTAGGTCTCTATAGCACAACAGGGTCTGACTACACCATGAACGAGGTGCCCCGAAGCTAGTCTGGTCATTTTTCTCCAACAGCTTCCTAGGATTACTAGAGCTGAGCGGCACAAATTGTAGCGGAGGCCATTTGTTTTTACAAAGCCAGTCTGTTGTGCAGCATTCCCCTCTTCCTTCCACAGGAGAACCTTCTTCTCCTGCATGCCCGGTTTGACGTGCCAATATGGGTCTTCTGTACGAGAGAGTCACGCGGTAGTGTGTGGATTGGAACCATAGAAAACCCATCTTTCATTTCCACTAATCAGTCTCCCAGAGACTCCTGATGAGAACACTAACGAAGGGGTTCTGATGAGAGCGCTAACCAGGGGATACACACCTAACTCACACCATGACGGATGGCACGCTGTGCACCCAGGGGTACCCGAGTGCACAGCGTACTACGTCATGGTATGTGATCCATCGAGCCAGTACTTCCCAATAGCCGAGGGCTTACAGGCGGTTGGCGACTGTAAGAGAGGACACACCCGAGTCTTGTCGCAAGACTGCGGGTGGTAGCCTCCGGAATCCTCCTTGACAGCTTCGAGAACGGTGGAACCTTTCACTTCGTGGGCGTCCCGACAGAGGTTTCCTTGAAGATTGTGTCTCCTTTCGCAAAGCGAGCGAACCAGCGGTGGACAGTCCTAATGGTAGTGATGTACTGTTGATGTTACGGACAGCTGCCGTGGCTCCAGTGCCGCGGGCCACTGATAGAAGATGATGACCCGAAGATGCTCCTGTGAAACTGACATCGTAATTAAACCCAGGGAAGAGCAGGCGCCTCACACGCCTCTTGCAGGAAAGCTTC